AATCCCTGGGGACCCAGGCTCAGGCAGAGGGAGACGGGGCTGTGAGGTGGAGTCCGGGAAGAGCGGCGAAAGGCCGGGCCCCTGGGACTCTCGCAAACTGCGCGCAGAGGACAGTCTGTTGACTCTGATGCTGGACTTCCCTAGCGGGAAGGAGAAAAAAAAAAGCTCTAGGCTGGGGGAACGCGGAGGGGAGCGGAAGCCCCTGCCGGACGCCAGCCAACCGGGCACCAGCAAGGAGGCGGGCCACGGGGCCCCTGGGGGCGTGGGTGCCCCTGAGCCTTTGACCACTGAGCTCGGGCAATGGAGCCAAGGCCGGGGGCTGCTTCCTGGGCGGCGCTGTCCCGGCAACAGGCTGAAGCAGCACAGGAGCCCGCGGAGAACAAAGGGGTGCCACAGGCCAACCTGCTGAGCTCCCAGGACAAGGAGGAAGAAACCAAAGAAGTTCTCAATGTGAAGAAATCAAGTGAGAGCAAAAAATAGTAAAATTACTTAAGAAAGAATACAAAGAAGATCTTGAAAAATCAAAGACTAAGTCAGAACTCAACTCACCAGCCAACATTGCAACATAAATGAGTTTTAAAAAGAAAAAAAAAGGACAGAATGTTGGAACAGCGACGGCCAGGCCTAGAGTGGCCAGGCACAAGGCAGTGGCAGCCAGACCCGGAGCAGCAACGGCCAGGCCCCAGAACAACAGCAGCCAGAACCAGAGCATCAACAGCCAGCACTGGAGTAGCCAGACCTGGGGCAGTGGCAGCCAGGCATGAGGCGGAGGCGGCCAAGCCCAGGGTGGCCAGTCCAGGAACACCCAGACCCGGAGTGGCCGGGCCCGAAGAAGCCGGGCCCAGAGCAGCCAGGGTGGGAGCAGCCAGACCCAGAACAGCAGTAGCCAAGCCCAGAGCATCCAGGTCGGGAGTGGCCAGGCTCGGAGCGGCCAGGCCCGGGGCAGCCGGGCCCAGAGCAGCCGGGTCAGGTGCGGCCAGGCCCGGAGCAGCGGCTGCCAGGCTGGGAGCGGCCAGGCCCGGGGGAGCAGGCGGGTCGGGTGCGGCCAGGCCCGGAGCAGCGGTGGCCAGGCTGGGAGCGGCCAGGCCCGGAGCAGCAGCAGCCAAGTCCAGAGCAACTAGGTCGGGAGCGGCAGTGACCAGACCCGGAGCAGCTGGTTGTGGAATGAACCAGAGCAACAGAGGCCAGGCCCTGAGCAGCCAGGCCCAGAACAGCTCGCTCCTTGTCTGCCCCTGCCCCACGGCTGCTTCTCAGTCATGGCTGGAAAGTTTCGTGGGAACTTGAGGGTCTGCTGAATCAAGTGATAAAGGCTTAGATCTGGATGTGTTGAGTTAGTTTAGGACTGGGGTGTTGATCTGTGAGTGCCTTGGGTGGGGCCTGGATGAGGCTGGTTGACCTAGTGGGAAATGTCTTTTGTGTGAAGTGTATCATTGGGCATGTGGAGGTATTATTGATATGAGAAAATGCTAAGTAACTGATTTACTATCTGAAAAGGGATTTACTATTGGGGAAATTGAGGGAAGAAGAGACTGAACATAAACTGCACCTATGGATGAGGACAATGGGGGGGGGACGGAGGGTGGGGTGGGAACCTGGTGGAGGGGGGAAGAAATGAGGAACCTTTGTAATAATATGAACAATAAAGATTGATTTAAAAAAAATAAAAAATAAAATAAAATAAAATTTATGAAGGGCTTAAAAGTGCACTTTTATCTGTATTAATATGTGTTCAGATGTACTCTGAAGTTCTCTTCATTTGAAGGTCATTTCAATGGTTTGTTAAAGCAGTGTGCCCAATGATACATCAAGAGAAAAGGCTAACCTGAAATTATATGAATGTATAATGTTTTCTAATATTTTTCCAAGTTACTAAGTGAAGCAAAGCCCTTATTTTATAAATAAAACACCTAATTATGACTTTCCAATATTTCTTCAAGATGTTTTCTTTGTGCTATCAGATTGAAGATTCCCCTTTACTCCAGTGTGTTCTCCGTAGAAGATAATTATCACAGCATCTTAAGCCTCACTGACGGCTAGGGGTGTACTCCTCATTAAACTTGCTGAACTGTATCACTTTCTGGTGAGTTCTGAATTACCGGACAGCTAGAGATAATATTGCTGAAAGATAACTACTAGTATTCTATTTAACTTGTATAAGAAAATAAAATTATACACTATTTTTTTTAGATATATTTTTATTGATTTCAGGGAGGAAGGGAGAGGGAGAGAGACAAAGAAATGTCAATGATGAGAGATGAGAGAGAATCATTGATTGGCTGCCTCCTGCATGCCCCCTACTGAGGATCAAGCCTGCAACCCAGGCATGTGCCCTAACCGGGAAGCAAACCGTGACCTTCTAGTTCACAGGCCGACCGTCAGCCACTGAGCCATGCCAACTGAGCAAGGAATATTATACTTTAAATGGTAAATTGAGCCTGGCTGGTGTGGACCAGTGGCTGAGGTTTGACACAAGAACCAGGAAGTCACGGTTCTATTTCCGGTCAAGGAACATGCCCCAGTAGGGGGTGCACAGGAGGCGGCTGATCAATGATTCTCATCCTTGATGTTTCTGTCCCTCTCTCCCTCTCCCACTCTCTAAAATCAAGAAAAACATAAAAAATGGCAAATTGATTTCAATGGGTTACTGTGTAAACAAAATATCATCTCTTCAATATTTATTACCAAAGTAACATATTTAAAATTCATCAGTTTTATTAGTCACACAAAATACACAGTTCAAATAGAGATATTTTTGGAATTTGATTTCTACAGTGAGAGCTTTAATCATGGGGGTAACAACAGTTATACTAGTTAGGTGCACTGTGCTAGATGTGCTGCACAAATTATCTCGGGAGTCAGGGAGCTCTTTCTATCGGGGTCTAATAGTAAATGCCTTACCTAGCTGAGTGGGTCACAGTTTCTGTTGTAATTACTCAATTCTGCTTACATTAAAAAAAAAAAAAAAAAAAAAAAAAGCCATAAGTGAATAAACTTGGCTGTGTTCCAAAGAATCTTAAGTTATGGTCAATGAAATGTGAATTTCATACAATTTTCACATGTCACAAAATATTTTATTTTTTATTGTTATTATTTTTTAGTCCTCACCCAAGGATATTTTTCCATGGATTTTTTTAGAGAGAGTGGAAGAGAGAGGGAAAGACAGAGAGAAATATCGATGTGTGAGAAACATTTCAATTGGTTGTGTCCTGCAGGTGCAGGACCAGATACCTGGCAGGGGAGGAGCCTGCAACTGAGGTGCATGCCCTTGGCCTGAATCGAATCTGGACCTTTTGGTCTGCAGGAAACTGACTAGGGCACAAAATATTACTATTAAAAATATTTTTAAAAGACCTTTGAGACGTGGCATTCTTAGTTCACAGGCCATACAAAAACAGAAAGCAAGCTGAATTTGGCACAGGCCTGTAGTTTTGCTGAACTCTGCATTATCTCAATCAGGTTGGGGAGGGCGGGGTATGTTCCTAAATGAACAGATAATATGAAAATTATACTGTCAAGCTAGTGGGAAAGAGTTTTCTCTCTAGCTTTGTTCCTGCTACCAGTCACTTTCTGCTCCCCTGCTGGCACTGAGACGAATATTCAGGGCTTTATTCAAGCGCAGCCCCTAAAAGTCTAGACTCGGACAAACCAATTTAAGAACTGTTACAGACTACAAGGACACACCACGGATCTTGAGGGTTTGAGTTGGGAGGGCTGTCACAGAGTCGGGTTTGCACAGGTCAAGCTTCCTGCAGGGTGACCAGGAGGCAAAGCCGCAGGTTGCTGCAGGGACCCAGGGAAGAGACCACGGCGATCTCACCTGGACTGCAGACGAGGACGGGAGCGGAGGGGAGAGGTGTTTAGGATTAGGGTCGCGTTAGGATGAGGACTGATCACATTGTCCTTTGTCTCACAGGGTAGAAGAGATTGATGACGCTTTTTATAACTTTTATGTAATTGAAAAAATGATCTAAAAATAAACAATTAAATATATCAGCCCTAACTAGTTTGGGTCGGTGGATAGAGCGTTGACCTGCGGAATGAAGGGTCCCAGGTTCCATTCCGGTCAAGGGCATGTACCTTGGTTGAGGGCCCAGCCCCCAGTAGGAGGTGTGCAGGAGGCAGCTGATCGATGTTTCTCTCATCGATGTTTCTAACTCTCTATCCGTCTCCCTTCTTCTCTGCAAAAAAAATCAATAAAATGTATTTTTTTTTAAACCCAATTCCTTCCCCCCCCCCCCAAAAAAAACCACTATATATATCAATAATAAAAATAATTTAAAAACTGCTACCTAAATTTAGCACTTCCTTATGCTTATGATTCACAACCATTTTAAACATTACAGAATCCTACCTTTGATTTACGGATTCCTTTACCCCAAAGTGGAGCATACCGTTTTCATCATGTCAACATAAAAGTTAGTTGACAATACTTTTTCTGAAAACCCACCTGAATCGCCACACTCCCAACCCGAAAAAGTCACCGCGTGGAGACCCTTTCCCCAATTTCCAGTTCCTTTTCAGACGTTCACGTGGCCGAAGCGCGTTCCCACGGCCCCTCCGCGCCCACCGACACCCACGGACCCGCCCCTGCACGTTTCTCCTCCGCGTCCGGCTCCCAGCGCCGCCGCCTCCCGCCTCCCGGGGTGGCCCCGCCCCCTCCAACTCCGCGGCCCAATCCCTGCTCCCCTGGGGTCGCTTCCCTTCTCCCCGCCCCGACGGCTGCCTGCGACTGGCTACACGGACGGGGCCACGACAGGATGCCCCAGAGCCCCGTCGTGATTGGCTGGAGGATAGCCGGACCTCTCCCGATTGGCTGAAAAGAGCAGACAGCAAGTGTGACTGCGCGCCGGGCGTGCGGACGCCGCTTTGTTGCCGGAGGGGGTGGCGGTGGAAGTTGAGGGAGGGGGTCAGAGGCCAGCGCTCCTCAGGACCCGCGGTCGCCGTCGGCGCAGTCACGTCGCCCGGGAGCCTTCCGCGGAGGAGCCGCACCGACAGCAGCCATGAGCGGCGGCGTGTACGGCGGAGGTGAGTGCGCGCGGCCGGACCTCTCTGCGCGCCGTTTCGGTGCGCGGGGTAGGTAACCGCCGCCCCCAGCCCTCCGGCCCCTCCCCGGCGGCCCCTTCCGGCCTCCGGGTCTCGGGACTCCCGCCCCCCATCCCCGCCTCGCGCTCGGGACTCCCGCCCCCCATCCCCGGGCCCCGGCGCCCACCCGGCTCTCCGAGTCTCCGCCCCCGGCGGCCCCTTCCAGCCCGCGTCCCCGGAGGAGGAGCGGGTCGGGGGCCGCGCGTTGGCCTGGCGTCCGGCATGAGGCTCCCTCCAGGGGTCGCCGAGCCCCCGCGGCGGGGGGCAGTGACCCGCGGCTCCCGGGGTCGCGTCTCTCCGGTGCCTCCGGAACTCGGCGGTGTCGCGCGGGTGCGCGCGAGTTTCAACTTGGGAGTTCGTTCCCGCAGTTGGCGAGCGAGCGGGCGAGCGAGGACGGAGGCTTCCGCGGCGCCGGGGAGGAGCGGCGGCCGCGCGGGACCTGAGCGCCGGCCGCGGACCCCCCGCGCCGTGACTTAGGCAGCTGTCCCAGGGAGACGGGGGCGCCGCGGCGGGAAGGTTGGGGAGGTTCGGGGACCTGGTGGTGACACCAGCCTCCCCCCAGTCCTGCAGTGCTTTGGCTTTGGGCGGGGGATTTGACTCTTTTTTTTTTTTTTAGCCTAGGAGGGTTCAGAGCCACATGCTCTCGGGTGTATGCGGATCTGTTTAGATATAATTAATGTCCACTGTAGCTTCAGGCTCAGGAGAAACCCCTCCTCCCTTTACCTGCCCAGAAGAGCTTGAATTAGGGCCCCTGCCCATCGTAGGAGATTGTCAGCGATAATTGTCTCTCTCTGGCCCACCTGTATAGGCTTTTTATTACTTTTTAATATGTATTTTATTGACTTTTTACAGAGAGGAAGAGAGGGATAGAGAGTTGGAAACATCAATGAGAATCATCCATCAGCTGCCTCGTGCACACCCCCTAATGGGGATGTGCCCGCAACCAAGGTACATGCCCTTGACCGGAATCGAACCGGGACCTTTCAGTCCGCAGGCTGATGCTCTATCCACCGAGCGAAACCGGTTTTGGAAGCAGATGTTATTTACCAAACATCTGCTCTTCCTGTCATCCTGCAGTGACCCTTTGAAGCGCCGCCCGCCCCCAAGTCTTCTTGTCTCATTCCTAGCTCAGAAGGACTTTTTTTTACCCGATACCCCTTTCTGTCTCTGAATCCCTTGTGCATGGGGAGGCGAGAGGGGTGTCTCAGACTCTCAGGTCTGCGGGGTTCCCATACATATATATGTATTACATTTGGTCGTTTTCTCCTGCTAATCTGTGTCATGTCTGTTTGATTGTTAGACCAGCTAACAGAATCTTTATGGTGGGAGTGGGGGGGAGTTTGTTCTTCCCCACGCTGGCCAATGGGGTGCTTGCGAAGGTGAATGAGATAATGCTGCACTTGTGTCTAAACAGGGGTTCGTGCATCAACAGTTCAACATCACCTGCAGGCTTTTCACAATGCAGACTCTCATGCCCCAGAGTGAAGCTACTGAACCAGAGCCTCCATTTAAAAAAAAAAAAAAAAAGTATTTCTTTATTGATTTCAGAGAGTAAGGGAGAAGGAGAGAGAGAGAGAAACATCAATGATGAGAGAGAACCATTGACCAAGCTGCCTCCTGCACGCCCCCACTGGGGGGCAACCCAGGCATGTGTCCTTGGCTGGAATCGAACCTGAGACCCTTCAGTCCGCAGGCCAACGCTCTACCCACTGAGCCAAGCTGGCCAGGCCAGAGCCTCCATTTTTGCAAGCTATCTAAAAGGAGCACAAGTGTGTATGACTACTGTGTTTCTATTTGACGAGTTGGAGAACAAGGAGACAGAAGCAGCATGTTGCTATTGCTATTGTGTCTAGTGAGGATGCTGTTTCTGGAGAAGGTGGCATTTTATTGGTAGGGGATACAAATAAAGTTTCCCAAGTTCTTAGTTTTTTGCGAGTAGCTTGAGTCTGTCTGGAGGTGATATGCTGACCCTCGCTGCCTTGTTCCCTATTCATGTTCTTGGTTTTGATTTCTCAAATGTGAGCATCCGTAGTTTCCCATTTTCCTTTGGAGGAAGCCAGGTGGACCTTCATGACTTACCTCTTCCCCGTTTGAAGATGCAACCCTGACAGAAAAAACCGGGGCTGTGTGCCTTTGCCTCCTGGAGGGTGTTGACTATTTTGACCTGTAGGTTCACTGACCCAAAGATCTAGAGGCTGTGCATTGAGTATTTCCTTAACAGGAATAATTTAATATGGGAAAAGTAGAAATGGATACTAATAATGCCAGCAGCTAACATTTATTGAGTGAATCCTATATACCAACAACTGTTCCAGAGGTTTTTCATGTGTTGTATTCAATATGTTCATCAACTATGTTATTCCACAACTATAGGAGGGGGTACTACTATCCCCATTGTAGTGAAGAAGAAAATGAGGCATAAAAAAGATTAAGTAACCAGCCCAAAGTTAATTAACTTCCTCATAAATGGGGACTAAGACTCACTGGAATGAAGAAAAGGCATTTCCATAAATCACTTTTCAAGTATATAACCACAGCATTTTCATGTTACAGGTATTCAGAATAAACATCTTATTTCTTATTTGCTGGGTAAATAGGTCTTAAAGCCTATTTTGCATAAAAATATTTAAAAATCACAAAAATTATGTGCATGATTTTCTATTTGAGTTACTATATATAATAAAAGGGTAATAATGCAAATTGACCCTAATGGCAGAACAACCTCTTGAAGTCACTGAGGCACACTGACCACCTCTTGGTCCCTTTTCCTGGTCAGAAGGTTCCCATTGCCCAATGGTGAATGGGGAACTGGGGGTTGGGGGCGGGGGAGGCAGGCTAAGGCCCCCAACCTGCCCCTCACCCCACACACACAGGGTGACCCGCAGCGGGGACAGGGCTGGTGAGCAGGTGGGAATGGCTGACCTCTCAGTCCCTCCCTCTGGCTAGCAGGCTCCAATTTTTAACCAATGGCGAATGGGGAACTGGGGGTGGGTAGCAGCAGGGGGTGGGGCCAGCTACGGGCAGCCTGGTAAGATGGCCCTGATCACATGCCAGGCCTAGGGACCATACTGCCCACAAATTCCATGCGCTGGGCCTCTGGTTTACACATAGTGGTCACATTTTCTAAAAGGTTTACTGTGAAAAGCAACTAACCTCACCAAAATTTTGTGTAATTAACAGTAGACTGTATTTTTTTTTTTTAATCAAGTTGTAAAGAAATAGGGAGAGAGAGAAACATTGATGTGAGAGTGAAACATTGATCAGCTGCCTCTGGCACACCCCCTATCAGAGATCTTATCATACAACCCAAGCATGTGCCCTGACGTCCCGGCAAACCTTTCTGTGCAGGTGAAGGTGCCCAACCAACTGACCCACACTGGCCATGGCTAGAATGTATTGTTAACTTGTGTGCTTATTAAAAAGATCTTTGTAGTTAAAACTTTTTAGTTTACAGGTGTCTCATTCCAATAATAACTTCTGACCAGATTGGACACTGATCTTTAACTTTAGAACTAATGCATAATTCATCCAGATTTCTGTACCTTGTAACAGGTTTCTGATCCTACTCATTGCTCTTGTGAGCATCTTTAATGGTTCTTCTCTACTTCAAACTCTTTTGCATGATAAAAATGTCCATACAAAAAAAATGAGCCAATCTCCCCACCTCCTCCCAAAGTCACTAGCATTCTATATCCTATTGGAATGTTATAAGACCAGGTTAGAAGACTGCCACTGTGCTTTGTGCTTTCCAAGAAAGAAATCACATCTTTTTTTTTTTTTTTAAATATATTTTATTGATTTTTTACAGAGAGGAAGAGAGAGGGATAGAAAGCTAGAAACATCGATGACAGAGAGACATCGATCAGCTGCCTCTTGCACACCCCCTACTGGGGATATGCTCACAACCAAGGTACATGCCCTTGACCGGAATCGAACCTGGGACACTTCAGTCCCCAAGCCGACGCTCTATCCATTAAGCAAAACCGGTCCCGGCAGAAATCACATCTTTTTAAAACTTGGAAGCCATTTACTCTGGGGAAAAATATCAAAATTCTCACATAGTCAAAACAGTAGCATTTTATCCATTAGAATGCCTCCTTAGTTTTTAATTCCAGACTTCTGAGGTTTTGATTTTAATCCTCTATCTCCCCTTGCCATTCTCCTATTTCGGATTCCTTGGTGCTTGGATTTTTTACAAAACAAGGTACAAAAAATAGGCATTTCATCGGGCAGGCATGGTTCAGTGGTTGAGCTTGGACCTATGAACCAGGAGGCCATGGTTTCATTCCCAGTTAGGGCATTTGCCCTAGTTGCATGCGTGATCCCCAGTAGGGGGCATGCAGCCCATGATTGATTCTCACTATTGATGTTTCTATCTCTCTCTCCCTCTCCCTTCCTCTCTCTGAAAGCAATAAAAACAATTCTAAGGATGGTAGCATGTCTCTGATATTATAAGTTGTAGGGTATAGTACTGTCTTTTTTGTTTTAATATTATGAGTATATCTTTGTAAATAGTCCCTTTAATAAATATACTCTCTTCAAATTACCCTTTAATAAATATACTCTCTTCAATTTTAGTGTAACACCTCTTTCTGATTCAAACTATTGATATACCATGTATGACATTATAATTTAATTAAATGAATCTTTATTTTAAGGTATATTTATTTATTTGTTACAGATTTTTTTTTTTTTATTGATTTCAAAGAGGAAGAGAGAGAGAGAGAGAGAGAGAGAGAGAGAGAGAGAGAGAGAGAGAGAGAGAGAAACATCAATGATGAGTGAGAATCATTGATTGGCTGCTTCCTGCATGTCCCCTACTAGGGATTGCAACCTGGGTATGTGCCCTGACTGGGAATCTTATCATGACCTCATGGTTCATAGGTTGATGCTCAACCACTGAGCCACACCAGCTGGGCAAGATGTATTTAAAATAAAGCTAGGTTCAAGATAGTAGTAGTATGAATGTAATGCCTGTTTTAATTTTTATGGAGCTTCCACATACATTCTCATTTTAAGCAAACATGATGCTTGTAAGTTTTTAATGTTAATTATCTTCTTATCTTTCAGATGAAGTTGGAGCCCTTGTTTTTGACATTGGATCCTATACTGTGAGAGCTGGTTATGCTGGTGAGGACTGTCCCAAGGTAAAACATTAGAGTAAATTGGATATGTAAGGCCATTCATGTAGAATTAAATTCATGCAGAAATTCTGATTCACATATGATAAAATACATTAGTTGGGGGAGAGGGGAATGATTCCTTAATAAAAGCAGATAAAACTAATATATCATATTTTGGACTCTTACAGGTGGATTTTCCCACAGCTATTGGCATGGTGGTAGAAAGAGATGATGGAAGCACATTGATGGAAATAGATGGTGATAAAGGCAAACAAGGCGGACCCACCTATTACATAGATACTAATGCCCTGCGTGTTCCCAGGGAGAATATGGAGGCCATTTCTCCACTGAAAAATGGAATGGGTATGATGTTGGTTTTTTTTGGTTTTTTTTCTATGTAATTGATTATAAAATAGATTGTACTGGGTGCATTTTAGATGTAAAGCAACAGCTTCTTTAAGTTGAAAATTAACAATTTTTCCGTTTTTTATCTATTTTTCATTCCACAACCTGATGTTCCAGGCACTGAGAATACAAAGATGCATAAAACATGTCTCTTTTCCTGAAGAAAGTCATAGATAGGGAGGATAGATGTATAAATACAAATGTGTAGATAAATGCTGTAATATAGTTATGTCTGATAGTCTGTGGAATTAGAGAGGAATGGCATTTAACTCTCTCATTAGGGGTCCGTGATAGTTTTCACAATGGAGGTAATTTTTGTACTGAATATTGATCACTGACAAAGAATTAGCCTGACTGACAAGAATAGGTAAAGCAGAGCAACTAGTATGTGTGAAGAGATGGAGTTGTGAAAGAAACTTACATGTTTATAAATGTCATCAATTATGTATAGCTGTAGCATTGGATACCGTATGGCCAGTTGCAGGGAAGGTAGGCAAAGTAATCATTAAAGGAATTGTAAACTGTGCCAGGGGTATAATGAGGTGGCAGTAAAGGTTAACCCCAAAGGATTTTAAACAGATGTAAAATATTCATATTTGCCAGCTGGAATTGTTACTCTGATAGCAGTAGATAGAATGGAGGGAGAGATACTAGAAACAAGAGATTCAGTTAAGTGAGTGGGAGTCAGATGGAGAAATGAGGATTTAAATTATAACACTTATGGTGGATACTGAGTTGGCTTTCAGAGATATCCAGGAGACAAATGGTATTTAAGTGATGGGAGGGGTAAAAAGAGTTAAGAAAGCGTTTTAGATTTTTGATTGGGGTGACCAAATTGAGGGTACCATGCACTGAGGTAGGAATAGAAGGCAAAAAATAAGTTTTATGGTCTAATAAGCAAGTGTAGCCCTAGCTGGTTTGGCTCAGTGGATAGAGTGTCAGCCTTCGAACTGAAGGTTCCCAGGTTTGATTCCAGTCAAGGGCACATGCCAGAATTGCGGTCTTGATCCCCAGTAGGGGGCATGCAGGAGGTGGCCAATCCACGATTCTCTCTCATCAATGATGTTTTCATATCTCCCTCTTCCTCTCTGAAATCAATAAAAATATATTTTAAACTACCAGCCCCGTGCACGAAATTTGTGCACGGGGGCAGAGAAAGGGGGGTTGTCCCTCAGCATAGCCTGTACCCTCTCCAATCTAGGACCCCTCAAGGGATGTCCGACTGCCCTCTCACAATCCAGGCCTGCTGGCTCCCAACTGCTCGCTTGCCTGCCTTCCTGATTGTCAGCCTGATCACCCCCTAACCACTTCCATGCCAGCCTGATTGATGTCCTGCCAGCCCGTTTGCCCTAGGAAGACTGATAGGACTCAGCATATAGTTGTACTCATGGCTAAGATTATTACACTAAAATGATACAAACAAAATTAGCAAAGGGAAAAAGGGGGTGTGAGGTCCAGAGGAAACCAGTACAAACTTCCAAGAGCCTTCTCACAGTACAGTTATAAAAGAGGATGTTCCCTCAGCATCAAGTTGTTACAACTAGGAGAGCTCACTAGAGATTTGGTACCCAGGGTTCTTATTGGGGGCTGGTCATGTCGGTGCCTAGTGCCTAGCCAGTACCAAGATCCCAGACTCTCAGGAGGAAAGAAGGTGTTCCTCATTCTTGGCGCAAACAGTTTAGGCACCATGAGCTATGTTTTCATTTAGGCTGTGATTATGTCTTTGTAGGGAACTGTTTTGTTTACCAGTCAAGTTCCCAAATGCTAGCCAGGGTTCAGCCTTGCAGCCAGGCCTTTCTTAGGCCTGCTGTGTTAACGTTTCTGCACAGCAAGGAAATGAATGTGTTACTGAGTCAAAATGATGAATATAGGTGCTGATGTTTTAAGCAGGTGAGAAAGATTTTAAGACATGGAGCTGTATTAAATTACCCAGAAAGAATTAGAAGTATAAGTGTTGAAGATGTGGTTTCTTATGAAAACTTGTTCTGTATTTAACTGATAGAGGCAACCAGGAAGGTGAATGTGAAGGAACATGTAGGGAGGTAGGAGAAGGATAAGATAAGGAAAAACAATGTCAAAAAAGATGCTGTGTATATCTCCAACAGCATTGTTTTGAAGGTATTTTTATATTCTAGTTGAAGATTGGGATAGCTTCCAAGCTATTTTGGATCATACCTACAAAATGCATGTCAAATCAGAACCCAGCCTGCATCCTGTCCTCATGTCAGAAGCTCCGGTAAGAAGAACAATTTCTTTTCTAATTTTTTCTCATTTTCCAGCCACCATTCATTTGAAAATGTTTCCTTTTTTTTTTTTTTAAAGAGACATAGAAATTCATATATTCTTGTTTGAAAATTAGGGAAAGGGGTATTCATTTTGAAATGATATTATAAGTTCAACATATTCATTAAGTAAAATATTCAAAGAATAATACAAAACACCCTAATGGGTTTTGGTGGTTATTTTATGTATTTTTTTTCCCTTAGGGATGTATTTAACATTAGAATCGTTAGGCTGCTTCCCATTTTGGTTTATGAATTGTCTCTTGTGTCACAGTGTAGTGTATATCTGCTTTCTTTATTTTAAAAAAAATGTTTAGAAATTATTTTAGAGTATTAAGTATTTTATTTTTCAAAATATATTTTTGTTGATTTCAAACAGGAAGAGAAAGAAAGAGGGAGATAGAAACATCAGTGCTGAGAGAATCATTGATCACTTGCCTCCTGCACACCTCCTACTGGAGATTGAGCCCACAACCCGAGCAGGTGTTCTGACTGGGAATTGAACTGTGACATTCTAGTTCATAGGTCAGTGGTCAACCACTGAGCCAGCCACACCAGCCAGACCATATCTGCTTTTATACTCAGGTCTCTAGGAGAGATGTCAAATGTTGAACAAGGGCTGCAAATTGCTAGACTGAAGTCTCTTCTGAAGCGCTTAAATTAACAATTTTCTGTTACTGTTTCTAACCTCTACAGTCTTAAGAGTAGCAGTTGTAGCCTGGCCAGCATGGCTCAGTGGTCAAGTGTGGTCTTATGAACCAAGAAGTCACTGTTCTCTCTCTACCTCTCTGAAATCAATAAAAACATATATATTTTTAAAAAGGAGTAGCAACTCTTAAGTATGAGAATTTGGTGGTTTAATATTCATATTTATGATTTTGATTCATAGATTTAAGATTTAATACTTTAATTTAAAATGTGGTCATTTCTAGAACTTATTGCAGCAGATAATTTTACCTCTTATTAAGTAATAAAATTTTTATTTATATTTAGTTTTTAAAACTACCAATAGAATTGAACCAAATATTTGTTATTATGAGGATTATTTGTCATGGTATTTTATTTTATTTTATTGTACATTTTTTGTTAATATAGTGTTATAATACATCTTGAGATAAATCAACATTTTATAAAAGTTTTCAAACAAGAAGTGATTTGCATTTCTTTTTCCCTCTTCTCCAGTGGAACACTAGAGCCAAGAGAGAGAAACTGACAGAGTTGATGTTTGAGCACTACAACATCCCAGCATTCTTCCTTTGCAAAACTGCAGTTTTGACAGCGTATCCTTGAAAGAATAATGCTTAGGTTTTCTCTTAAAGTAAACATGCGGTGCTCCTTAAGCACAGACATGAGCCAGTTCTCGCTTGTTCAAAACTGAACACTTTGGGGTGTTTTCTCTCTTGCCTTTTAAAAAAGATTTTAGAAAGAGGAAGAGAGAGAGAGAGAGAAATATCGAAGTGAGAGAGAAACACTTAATTAGTTGCTCTAACTGGGGATCGAGCCCACAACCCAAGTATGTGCCATGACCTGGAATCAAACCCACAATCTTTCAGTGCATAGGACAACAATCCACCCAACTGAGCCACACCAGCCAGAGCCAGTTCAGTTTAAAATACAAACAATAAACATATTAATGTTAACATTTTTATGAAAACGGTAATTATATTTTATAAAACTAATAATAAGAAAAATACCATACTTTTATCTGACTTAATGGATGATAGACGAGTTCTCATATCTTCCAGTCACACTGTCTGTGTACTTGACACCTTAAGTTAGTAAGGAAGGCTTAGTTTTATGCTGTCCAACTCGCATACTTTGGAGAATGCATTTAGTAAAAAGGTGCCAAAGCGTCAGTTGAGTACCAGTAATAGCAAAGATAAATCGCCTCCTTTCTGACCATTTAATGCTGCGGTCGTCAACCAGTGGTCCGCAAGGTCCGAAAGGTTGGCGACCGCTGATTTAATGTTCTCAGAATTCTTCCCTCTTACCACCTCTACCCATTCCTTGTTCCTTTTTGCCTTTGTTTGCTTTGTGTTTTTGCCCTTAAGTCCTTCATCTCTTTTGGCATGCTCCTTCTGGCTTAACTTACCCATTTTCTTGACTTAGGTACCTGTTTTTCGGTGACCATTCCCATATCTTTCTTGTGAGCTCCAAGCTCAGCTGCCAACTAGTATATTTTCTGTAAGCACTTTAAACTTATGTCCAACACTGACTTTATTCCTTCTCCATCTGTGAATTATCCTATTCCCAGTTGCCCACACCAGAAATCTTTCCCTTTAATTCAAGTGTATCAGTCACCAAGAGCTATGTGTCCTGTATCTTCTCCTCCCCCCCCCACCCCAATCATCTCTCAATCCATTTATTTCTCTCCATCCACTACCCTTGCATTAGATGCAAGCTCTTTCCAGGATTCCTGCCACCCTTCCTCTTACCTTGGCCACTCTTCACACTGCAGCTCTTATCTTCTTTGTTAATTGCAAACCTTTCTAAGCTAGAATCCTCGTCCACATTCTTCATTCTTCTACTAGGCTATGTTGAACTGCTTGCATTTGCCTGACCTCACCTGCTCTCTTGCCTCCTGGCCTTCTTTGTGTTCTTGCTTTTCCCCAGGTTCCCCTCCTCAGCTTACACTTGGATTTCCCAGGGGTTGGTTACGGGGTCTCTAATACCCCACAGGGCATTCCGAGGTATTCTTTTTACAGCTTTCTTTACTGATCTCTACTTCACTAAGCAGAATATTCTTTAGGGCAAAGGTAAATGGTTCACCTTTGTGAATTTTCTGTGCTTAAGGAGTGCCAGCCTTTATTGAAATCAGATTCATACTGGACATATAATAGATGCTCAGCAAATATTTGAATGGCTCTATTCCCAAACAGTGGTTTAAGATGTTTCGGGCAAAGTTGTAGAAAATGGGATATGCCTATATTCAGTGGCTATGGATGGTAACTGCCACTTAGTTGCCACCCTGCAGAAATACCTCTTTAATCATTTGTGACAGTGGTTTTAGTTCTTCGCTCAAGGTCCACAGCCTCCCACTGTTTTTACCAAGTTCCTGTGTGTTTTGTGAAATAAATGCTTCTCCATTTATTGTAAGCCATTTGATGTATCTCTGGGGACTTTGTGTGACTGTGTTGATTTTGACCAACTTAACAGATGTCTCTCTCCAGGAGAAAGGTTTCCCCAAGTTCCTCACACCACCACTCTGGAAATCCGTCCTGCCTGTTGTTATTTCTTTTTATTTATTTATTTTTTAAATATATTTTATTGATTTTGTACAAAGAGGAAGGGAGAGAGATAGAGAGTTAGAAACATCGATGAGAGTCATCGATCAGCTGCCTCTTGCACACCCCCTACTGGGGATATGCCCGCAACCAAGGTACATGCCCTTGACCGGAATCGAACCCGGGACCCTTCAGTCCCCAAGCTGACACACTATCCATTGAGCCAAACCGGTTTCGGCTGTTATTTCTTTTTAAATCACAGTCATGACTTGATATCAAGTTTAACCCCTAGATTTACTTTAACACATTTTAAGCCATAATGCCTCTGTTTACAAAGACCTTAATAAAACCTTTCCTTCATAATTAACTTTATTTTCAGGAGCCTTGATCCTTTCTTTCCCTTAATGCTTTAAACTAGATTTGCTAATGGGCGTTCGACTGGGCTCATTTTGGACAGTGGAGCCACTCACACCACCGCAATTCCAGTGCACGATGGCTATGTCCTTCAGCAAGGTAAATGCATTAACCCGCGTGCTCTGAGACAGTGTTAGCGGTCATGAGGATACAGATGAGGACACTGGTCTGTCAAAGCATTCTAAGTCCAAATACCTTTTTTAGAGGTATTTTTAAAAATTGTTGATATTTAATGTAGATTTAAAAACATGTGTGGCTTCATGAGTGCTTTGAGGGATAGTTCTGTTATTTCTACTTATAAGTAATTATTCACATAAATCCGCAGAGGATATTTGTCCCAGGGAGTTTGAGTGGAATGTTCTCTTAGCCTTGTTTAATCTGTTTCATAGGCATTGTAAAATCCCCTCTCGCTGGAGATTTTATTACCATGCAATGCAGAGAGCTCTTCCAGGAAATGAATATAGAACTGATTCCTCCATATATGATTGCATCAAAAGTAAGTGATTGGTGAATTTCCTCTTTGGAATTTATCTCCACTTCTTCACCTCATGTTGTGGGCTCTGTTAACCTAGCAAATGCTCTTGGCTTTCAGGAACCTGTGCGCGAGGGATCACCAGCAAACTGGAAAAGGAAAGAGAAGTTGCCGCAGGTCACAAGGTCTTGGCACAATTATATGTGTAACGTAAGTAATCTTATCTTCTTCATGAATGACTTATAGGCTGTAAGTCTTTGAATACAATATGAACACTTTTCAATCTTTACATTTTTATGTGACATTCTAGAAACAGAATTAATAGCTTTTTGGGGGGTGGGGTGGTTTTTCATACTTGCTAAACAGATATGTCAACAAACTACTACATATTCATTTGGATTACTATGGTGAGACTTAGAAGGAATTTTGGTTTTGGGGGAAAACAAGCATTATGCTATTCTGAACTTTTCTTTTTGTTGGTGAAATGGTTTTTGTCTATAGCAATCTCCTGGTGTGGCTCAAGTATGTTCTCTTGTCTAATAATCAGTCGGCCATATAAAAAAATGTGGATTATTGCCCTAGCTCAGTGGTCGGCAAACTCATTAGTCAACAGAGCCAAATATCAATAGTACAATGATTGAAATTTCTTTTGAGAGCCGAAAACCAATTTCTGAGCATGGCCACGAGGTTTCAATCATACTGTATTGTGTGCCCGCTCGTGGTATTTTGTGGAGAGCCACACTCAAGGGGCCAAAGAGCCACATGTGGCTCGCGAGCGTCGGTTTGCTGACCATTGCCCTAGCCCATTTGGCTCAGTGGATAAAGCGTCAGCCTGTGGCTGAAGGGTCTCAAGTTCGATTTCAGTCAATGGCACATACATTGGTTGCTGGCTCCATCTGAAGGCATCCAATCTATGTCTCTCTCTCACTGTCTCTTCCTCTTGCCACTCTCTTAAAAAAAATAAAATATGGATTTTTTTCATATAGCAGGGAGCCAACGAGATATTCTCTTTATTAAAAATCCATTTCTGAACATAGCACTTACTGACAGGGGGAGAGGTTAGTAAAACAACTTCTCATAGCACAGATAAACATCCAATTCTCACAGTAAAAGTATATTAAAGTCATAATTCACTATGGCAGACATATATTCTATCTGACATTTTAGCACCTAAAGATAAAGGTTTTTGTATGTGTTTGGTACAAGGAAAAATTGTGGAAATGATTAGCAATTTGGACTAGATATTAGACAATATTTATCCTTAGCAAACCCAGAGGACAGGTATTTCAAAGTAAATTTTAAAATTGTTGTGCCCTAGCCAGTTTGGCTCAGTTGGATAGAGTGTCGGCCTGTGGACTGAAGGGTCCCAGGTTCGATTCTGGTCAAGGTACATGCTGAGGTTGAGGGGGCATACAGGAGGCAGCTGACCAGTGATTCTCTCTCATTGATGTTTCTCTCTCTCTCTCTCTCCCTTCCTTTCTGAAATCAATAAAAATATATTTAAAAATAAATAAAATTGTTGTACAGTATATGCATCATGTAAAGTTACATCAAGTACAGTGTATATGCATATATTACAGGTAATGATGAAATCTGTCTTCTAGTAAGTCTAAGCTTTTCTTAAAATAAAAAGTGTTTTGAAACTTTTTTTATGTAGGACTGTGATACAAGGGTTCTCAGTTTTTCATTTGTTTCATACTGTTGTTACTTAAATGTTCTGCATTTTAGCTTCTAATTTAAATGCTTATTATTGGGGTTTCTTTGATAATCGAGAGTCTTTGCTGGATAGATTTATACACTTGAATTTCTTACCCATCCAGGAACATGGCCCAGTTTTCTTAAGAAAAGTATTTTATTGATAATGTTACAAAAGTATTGAGTGCAAAGACAAATCTCAATAACTGTTTCTTAAACTATCTTATTTTTACCCATAGTGTGTTATCCAGGATTTTCAAGCTTCAGTACTTCAAGTATCAGATTCAACTTACGATGAACAGTATGTATTATTTTGCCTGCAAGATAGAATTTAATAGCTCTTTAAAACCTTCATACTAATCTTTTAAAAAACTGAGTACTTCCTAAATGAGGTAGGAAGTTGATTTGTTTAGATAAAAAAAGAATCGTAGAATATGTTCAACTGCTTGAAAGGTAAAAAGTTGTTAAGAAATATGGAATAACATTTTAAAAGAAAATAGATCTCACTCTTTCATATAAGTTGATTCCTTAGTAGTTTATCATTTTTGAAGAGGATTGTCTTTGTCTTTTGTTTAATGATGTTTACTGTGTTTTCAGAGTAGCTGCACAGATGCCAACTGTTCATTATGAATTTCCTAATGGCTACAACTGTGATTTTGGAGCAGAACGGTTAAAGATTCCTGAAGGATTATTTGACCCTTCCAATGTAAAGGTATGAAAGCTTATTTTATAATTAGCCTGACTTTTCCTGTATATGTAGAGATCTTGTGTGATTAGAATACCTATATAATACTAAATGCTTTTGGACACACTGTATTGCTTGAAGTTCTCAGTGTCTCCATTTTGTTTTGTTGTAGGGATTATCAGGAAACACAATGCTGGGAGTCAGTCATGTTGTCACTACAAGTGTTGGAATGTGCGATATTGATATCAGACCAGTAAGTGCCAGTCTCTTGTTTATGGCATGGAGATATCTCTGGGTACTGAAATGCCCCCAGGTCATTATTTAAGTTGGCAGTTTGGGTCATTGTCTTCGAAGTCCACTGTATAACAGAATATGTAAAAAGATGGGAGTACTTGAAAAGGAAAAATGCAAAACTCTGGATCTGTGGTGTCCAGTATGGTATCTATTGGCCACATGGTGTAATTTAAATTAAAACAAATGCAAATTTCAAAGTCGGTTTTTCAGTTGCACAGGCCACAGGGTAAATGTAGCAAATAGTTACTGTATGACAGTGCAGATATACAGCATTTTCGTCATCACAGAGTTCTTTTGGATAGTGCTGTTCTAGACATTTCCTAAAAGGAGACAAACCAAAATATATGTTATTGGTGATTTTTTTCTAGTCTATATAGTACAGTTTTCCTTTTATTACTCAAGAAGGGTTAAGTTTTTGTAAGAAGTGTAGTTAAGTGATTTCTTTCATATTTTTGTGCTTTTCTAACTTTTAAGTACTCCATATTATAACACCAATCTGATTACCAGATTGAGTGTACCATATTTTTACCCTAGGCTCAATTTGTAGCCAATACAGGGGTGATCAAAAGGAGGTTTACATTTGTTCGTAGAGAAAGACTTGTAGGTTATAATTATTACCAAAACTTTATTAACTCAAAAGAATATCTCACCTTCCCTCCGTCCCAACCTCCCCCCTTCTTCTCTCTCTCAAATAAATAAATAAAAATTCCATCCCCAAAGATTTTTATTTAACTGCTTCAGGCATTGGTGTTTTAAAATCTGCCTAAATGAATAGAATGTGTAACCAGTATTGAGAACCACAGGACTAAGCTACTAAGTCTGTATAGGAGTAAAACAATTTAAAAAGAAAGGGAAATTGTAGTGGTGGACATAGGTTTATTTGTTGTGTTTAAAAACTGTTAGAAACCTGTGGAACTAATTTATTATTGTTTTGTATCCTAGGGTCTCTATGGAAGTGTCATAGTGGCAGGAGGAAACACGCTAATCCAGAGCTTTACTGACAGATTGAATAGAGAACTCTCTCAGAAAACTCCCCCAGTAAGTTTTCTTTGTTCTTTAGTAGTATTCTCCAGTTACAGGTGTCCACACTGGTGTAATTTCATAGTTAAAGGTTTGTTTTGCAATACATAGGTATTTTGTATATACCTGGTACAGTATTACTTCAATAAAGTTAATATTCTTTTTTTTTTTAAGTGGTTGTTTTTTAAAAAAATTTTAAAAAGAGAGAGGAAGGGAGATGGATAGAGAGATAGAAACATTGATGAGAAACATCATCTATTGGTGCCTCCTGAATCCCTTTTGACTAGGAATTAAACCTGTGACCTCTTGATTCCTGAGCCACACCAGCCAGGCTTAATATCCCTTATTAATCAAATTTTCCTAGATGCCATCTATTTGTTACTCTTGTACTATTTAAATATCACTTTAGTCATTGATTCTATAGCTAAATACCTATAGTCTGCTGGGCACTGGAGATATAAAATGTAGTCCCCACCCAGCGGGTGCTGAGTCTGCAAGGATAAGTAGACATGGACAGAATGACTGGAATGTGCTCAGTGGTTCAGTATGTCATGAACCAGATGGTCTTGGGAACAATGGCCCCAGTGAAGAAGCTGTTTGGATAAGAGTTAAGTAATTTACAAAAGGACATCTAGGTGGAGGGAAAACCGTGTGCACAACATGAAGGGAAGACGGTATATTCCAGTATCTCCAAATAGTTGGCTTATCTATGCAGAAGTGGGGAGAGTGATACGGCTGGTTAGATGGCTGATGTATTAGATTCCTAAGGCTGCCAAAACAAAGTGCTGCAAAGTGGGCGGTTTAAAACTACAGAACTTTAAAAAAAAATTTTTTAATACGTTTTTATTATTTTATTTTAAAATCTTTATTGTTGAAAGTATTACATAGGTCTTTCTTTCTTCCCCATTAACTTCTTCCAGCCTGCTCCCATCCTCTCCCACCTAGGCCCTCACCACCCCATTGTCTGTGTCCATGAGTTATGCATTTATGCATATAATAAAACAACAGAACTTAGCTTTCTCTCTTTCCACCATGTAAGGACACAGGGAGAATTCGGCAGTCTATAAGCCAGGTAGAAAGTTCTCACCAGAAACAGAATCAGCGGACATACTAGTCTTGGACTTCGATCCTCCAGAAGTGTGAGACAATAAATTTTTGTTATTTAAGATAAAAAACTGAAAAAAATGGAAATTTATTTTCTCTCAGTTCTGGAAGCAAGAAGTCTGACATTAACATGTCAGCAGAACATGATTTCTCTGAAACCTTCAGAGGAGAATCTTTCTTGCCCTCCTCCTCCTCCTAGCATCTGAGGGTTTGCCAGCTTCCCATAACATCTCCTACCCTCAGTGTCTATCTCTATGGTCATATGGCATTCTCCCCTTGTGGGTCTGTTCTTTTCTTATTAGAACACCAGTCATATTGGATTAAGGGCCCACCCTGCTCGAGTATAACCTCACCTTAATTTATCTTAATTACATCTGCAAAGATCCTGTTTCTAAATAAGATCATATTCACAGGTACCAAGGATAAAACTTCAGTGTATCTCTTTGGGAACACAGTTGTAGCACATTGCGTTGCTTACTGTGCACTTAAAGGATTGAATCTGGCAGATGATTGAAGAATTCCTATGTTTATTTTTAAAAGATCACTGTGTGCCTTGTGGTAATTTAAAAGGATAGAAGAACCTGGTTTTGGGAGAAGGGAGTTTACATGATGGGTACATTGATAACAGAGTAGCAGTCATAACCTTTAGATTTTAAAACTTCTATCACATAGTTTATTGTAGGATATTCTAAAATAATGTTATTTTAAAACACTTTTTTTTTTTTTTAATGTATTTTATTGATTTTTTACAGAGAGGAAGAGAGAGGGATAGAGAGTTAGAAACATCGAAGAGAGAGAATCATCAATCAGCTGCCTCTTGCAAACCCCGTACTGGGGATGTGCCCGCAACCAAGGTACATGCCCTTGACCGGAATTGAACCTGGGACCTTTCAGTCCCCAGGCCGACGCTTCATCCACTGAGCAAAACCAGTTCTGGCTTAAAACACTTCTTAGGTGTTATATAGACCCTAACAGTATTTGCATATTTGATATTCTTGGTTTTTCATATGAAGGAGTATTTTATATATTCTAAATTTTTGTAATTGTGTTATTTAAATATTGATACAGGCAACAATTGATTCTTGCCTTGTATTTACTCTGTTCTTGGAAATATAGTCTCACCTGGAATATACCTAAGTTATCATTGGATTTCTTAGAAAGTCCCAGAATAGTGAATATAGATATGGGCTATCAAGACCAGTTAGATATTAACTACCCTTATTTATTAGGAGGCAATTAAAAATTGATGGGATAACAGGGAAAAATTCCATTGTCATGATACCAACCAATTCCTCGCCTATAAAATCCTTCGCTCATCCTTCCTCTTCCCAGGACCCCTTCCCACCCACAAGATAGTCCATTCCTGCCACCATTTATTTCACTGTGCAAAAGACTCACACTGTGTTCCTATCCTATCAAATAAAGAGGTAATATGCAAATTGAAAGTCACTCCCAACACACAAGATGGCCATCCCCATGTGGCTACCACAAGATGTTCTGCAGGGGAGAGCAGTTGGAGATGACCAGGCCTGCAGGGGAGGGCAGTTGGGGCAATTGGGCCGGCAGGGGATCAGTTAGGTGTCAACCAGGCTGGCAGGGGACTGTTTAGGGGGTGATCAGATTGCAGGCAGACCTTTGGGGCAAGTGGTTAGGGGCAATCAGGCAGGCAGGCGAGTGGTTGGGAGCCAGCAGTCCTGGATTGTGAGAGAAATGTCCCAGATTGGAGAGTGTGCAGGCTGGGCTGAGGGACACCCTACTCCCTTCTCCCATCTCCTGTGCATGAATTTTGTGCACTGGGTTTCTAGTTTAGAATAATGAAAATCTGCTGAAACCGGTTTGGCTCAATGGTAGAGTGTCGGTCTGTGGACTGAAAGGTCCCAGGTTCGATTCCCGTCAAGGGCATGTACATTGGTTGTGGGCACATCCCCGGTAGGGGGTGTACAAGAGGCAGCTGGTTGATGTTTCTAGCTCTGTATCTCTTTCCCTTCTCTCTGTAAAAAATCAATAAAATATATATATTTAAAAAAAAAAAAAAAAAAGAATAATGAAAATATCAACAATTTGTGAAATATCCCCAGTAGCAAATTTCTAGGTGGAGAGTAAAAATCTCTTGACTCAACAAGTGAGAGTGATAATGCTCAGGCATAAAAACCACAATGTTTATCGAGAGTTAGTTTAAAACAGAAACACTAATTAGAAAGGAAAGCAGTATGCCGAAACCGGTTTGGCTCAATGGATAGGCGTTGGCCTGCGGACTGAAAGGTCCCAGGTTCGATTCTGGTCAAGGGCACGTACCTTGGTTGCGGGCACATCCCAGTGGGGGACGTGCAAGAGGCAGCTGGTCGATGTTTCTCTCTCATTGACGTTTCTAACTCTCAATTCCTCTCTGTGTAAAATCAATAAAAATATACTTTAAAAAAAAGAAAGGAAAGCAGTATGAATAAAAACCTTACCTGAGAGCTGATGTGTGCATTTTTTTTTTTTAAATACATATATTTTATTGATTTTTCACATAGAGAGAAGGATAGAGCATTAGAAACATCGATGAGAGAGAAACATCGATCAGCTGCCTCTTGCACACCCCGCACAGGGGATGTGCCCGCAACCAAGGTACATGCCCTTAACCGGAATCGAACCTGGGACCTTTCAGTCCGCAGGCCGACGCTCTATCCACTGAGCCAAACCGGTTTTGGCAGCATTTTGTTTTCTAAGTGGAACATGGTGTGGGCTGTGGAGGGGTGAACTAAGATAGTTAGGAAAGCATGAACCTTTGAAGAGAAATAGAAAATTGTGGACTACTGAAGGAGCCACAGGTTGGGATAGCTGGACTTGGTGTTGGAAGACCTGAAGTCCTAAATGAAGCATTTAGCATTGTACCTGATTTATAGTAAGTATTAAATATATGTTTGTGGTTATAAGGTATAAAAAGTATAAATACCATACTCTTTGGTATATAGTTCTCTAAGATTCATATAATTTACTTTCTTATTAAATATTACACATTAAACGCCAAAGTTTAAAGTACTTTATACCATAGGTCAACCTATACCTACAAGCATAACTTTTGCAAAAGAAATTATGTATCTGTATTTAAATCAATCATTAAGTTCTCAAAGGTAAATTTACTAATTTAAATCACCTGTTGTATTTAATATTTGTAAATAATATTTAATTATTCTTCCCTCTCAATTTTAGAGTATGCGGTTGAAATTGATTGCAAATAATACAACAGTGGAGCGGAGGTTTAGTTCATGGATTGGTGGCTCTATTCTAGCTTCTCTGGTGAGTAAATTACTTGGAAAAATACCTAACAATTTGTGTTGAATGATTTAACTTAAATATGCCACTGAAAACACTAAATTTAATAAAGACTAAAAATAATTCCAATGCAACCATTTATCTTTGTATTTTATAACTATCATAAAAGTAGTTTCCCCTCTCAAACTGATGGGAATCTGTTAACGTATTCACGCCCCTTCCAATTGTACTCTCTTTGGCACTGTCAGAATGTACCTGCAGCATATTTAAAATTGAATCAATCTTTCTCAGCTTCTAGTTGTTCCCTGGCCTTTTGGTGAGGTAGAAGTCAAGAATTGATTCTTGGGGCAAATGGTTCACTCATGGTGCTGGCTTTTACATGTTGCTTAGACTGGTGCCTGCCTTGTATCAAGAGAAAAAAAACCTTATTCTTATTTGCACCCTAGACTGGAGAATGTTCTCTTCCCTTCAGAGCAATCAGTTAAATGTCACCAAATACTTATGCTAAACATTTTTAAGCAATTAGATGTTTGGAGCTGTCCGTGCATGTATATCTTGTCTATGTTCTATTTCCAGTCTTTTAGGAGATCTCAGATCAAAATGAGATACCATGACTGAATGCATTCAACATTCTTTTTGTTTTAATTTTATTTTATTGATTTTTCACAGAGAGGAAGGGAGAGAGATAGAGAGCTAGAAACATAGATGAGAAAGAAACATCAACCAGCTGCCTCTTGCACGCCCCCTACCGGGGATGTGCCCGCAACCAATGTACATGCCCTTGACCGGAATGGAACCTGGGACCTTTCAGTCCGCAGACCGACGCTCTACCACTGAGCCAAACCAGCTTCGTGACTGAATGCATTCAAATAGTCATGTAGTCCAGGTTCTGTCTTCCCCTTGGTCTCTTTTCTCCTTTCACCTTGTGTCTTTGGTGAAGTGCTTGTTATCATGTGTGTGTACTTGTTAAATTTTATCCACTTCTGGTGAGCACTTTTCTAAATGTTACCGTTAATCAATCCTGGACCATCTTTTCAGTTCTGTACCTGGTGCAAGCCTTGCACCGGTTTCTGTTGTTGCCTTAGATTGGCACCAAGTCATCATAGCCAACTCTCCGCCTCCTTTCACAGCCTCTTTTTATCCGTATGACAGAGTAACTGCTATAAGAGGGTTTAATATTCTTTCTAACCTTAAGTAGTGTTTGTGGGTGTTCTGAAGGACGGCAGAAACAGTTCTTCACAGAGTAGGAGTTGTGAAAATAAAGATAAAATGTATCTTTCCATTTCACAGGGCACCTTTCAACAGATGTGGATTTCCAAACAAGAATATGAAGAAGGAGGGAAGCAGTGTGTAGAAAGGAAATGCCCTTGAAGAGTGTTCCTACACCTCCACCTCCTGTCACCTTACGTTTCATAGCTTTAGTACACTCAGGAAAGGAATGACCATCTTTTGTAGAATGTTTATACATTTTTGCATATTTCAATTTCCACTTAAAACTGTCAAGGCTTTAACTGGCTCTATAAACTAAAATAAGTTTGTGCTTTCCTTGGGATGCACTTATTCTTATTACAAGCATTTTATAATTTTATATAAATGTCTATTTTCTCTAAATATTTTACTTTAGTCAAATGCTTTCCAACTCTGCTTAGGATTAATTACCAGTGGATTGATAGAGTTAACTTTTTATTGATGAGTAAAACGTATTGCCTATGCTTTTTACCTTAATAAAAATTGCTAGCCATCCAGAAACATTTTTGGACTTACGTTGTCTTGTGACTTGATAATTTAAATACTAAATGTATTTATGAGCATTTTCAGTGAAAGTACTCATTGTTTATTAACAGCAGCTAATCCACAGCTCCTCACATTCTATTAACAACAGTAATAAAAATGTTAGTGGAATTGCTTTTGCTATAGTAATTAACTTTACTTTCCACTGTTAGATATAGATGATACTGAAGTCTGCTTAGATGTCATCTATATATATAAAAAGGCTAAGTAACCAACCATCTATCTGACCATCTGGTATTAGATGCATACTGGCAATTTAAAAATAAATGTTGACTCGAGCATGTGTGATAATATATAAAGCTCTCACTGGTGCCAGTCGCACGCACGTATGTTTTAATTTTATACTACTAGAGACCTGATGCACGAAATTCTTGCAAGGGGCTCAGCCCTCACAGCCCTGGTTTCATCAGGAAGGTCATCCAGATGGTCGCTCTGCTGTTCAGTCTAATTAGCACATTAGCTCTTTATTATGTAGGATATTATATATACTATTTTGAAATGCAAATTTTTAAGTAATGTAATTACTGCACAAATTTTCTTCTAATTAACTTCCTTTCAATGCACACAATTCCGTGCACCAGGCCACTAGAAATTTATAAAATGGGAAATGTAACCTGAACCTGATACCTGATTTTCTAAAAAACTGATACAAGCATGACCACTTCCAAAATTAGCAGGACATATTAACACTTAAAACAGTTGGTAGTCATTTCACTAAAACACCATTTCTTTATAAAACAACTGACATATAGTTCCTTTTCTATATAGACTTTTTATGTAAGAAAAACAAAATGGTAAATTATAAGTTCAGACATCTTAGGCAAGACTTGACTTCTGGGCTTCAGAAAGATGTGGAAACTTTTCCTGAAGAAGTTTTGCTTTCTTTTTCTCTAAATTTCTCTTCCTTATTTGGATCCGGGCGTGCTTCTCCAGTCTCAGTCTAGAATAAAAGTAACACAGCAAATTATTCAGAAATCTTTCCTGTTAGTCAATACTATCAAACTATGTTCAAATCAATTATTTAAAGCCTGCATCATGAGTCTCGATATTAGGTGTGGCATGTATATTATAAAACTGGAACAATCACTATAAACCTACAGGTCAAAGATAAATGTGAAATCAAAGCATCTGTAACCCTGCAGCAATTCTCATTTCCTGTCTAGAATGAATGAACAGATCTTCTGACAACTGTAAAGAATGATCTATCTTTCTACCTTATTTAAAGCCACTACAATTTTAATGACTACATCAGATTTTTTACATCCTGAGATACATCCTGAGACTTCAGGGAATTCCCTAATTTTGAATAGCATTCAGTCTAGTATATCCTTTCTCCTACAACAGGGAGAATAAAGCCATGCCTAGAGATGATGCTTAGATTCACCACTCTAAGTGAGATTGCTTGTACCTATCAGCATTCCAGGGCATGAGGCATTTTGTACCTCAGCGAAATTATGTTGATCTATATGGTCACGTAGGAATTGTCAAAACTGTAAATGGCAAATTTATGGATGCCAAGCCTTTACAGCACTAAAGCTAATATAAAATTTAATACAGAAACAAGTACTGAATAACTAATATGCCAGTTCTATGGTGGAGGTCATAAAAATTGAAGATGGTTACATTTGGGAGAAGACAACACATGTATCAAAAAAACCCCAAACACATACAAGATACTTTGTAAATTAAATGCAATGTAAATGTAAGATTAAAGTTCAAATTGGATTACCCTCTATTCATTAATCTTTGCTCCAACTAAATTTTGGTCATTTGTAAGAAATAACCATATCTGAAAAAATAAAGGTTGGTTATTCTTGACTATTCAAGAGATTACAGTACATGCTTTGAAGGCTAAAAAAGGTAGTTTCTAAAAGAGAATAATTAGAATGAGTATAAAGCCTGTAAGTATAACACTGTTCATAATTTCGCATACATTGTTTTAACCCTCTGTACACCATAAGCGTCTACAGATGCAAGCAGCGGACCTTTCCCACACACCACGAGCATGGAAGAACTGCAACCTCACATATTTTTCTCTCTTTCTGACATTAAGAAATGGTTTTAAGAGCTCTGGGACAGAAACAGGGACAAAGTAAACACATATTTCTTACTATAAGTCACACCACCACCACAACAGATAAAACTAGAAATAAGGAAAGAGGGATGGTTTTGTGGGGTAGATAAAATTTAAACTGTGACTCTATAGCATGCTAAAATACCTTTAAGATCAGTTTAAATACGCATTTCATTCCTGTTTAAATTATTTTTTATAGTTTTTTATTTTGGGGTATGGAAACAAGCTTTGGGGGAGAAAGTATTTGAAGAAATCTTGCTGAAGTTGGACATGCTATCTAAGGCAGTTCTTAAAAGCTGTGGTCCTTGTACTGCTAGGATTTCCTCTTACATTTCCAGCTGCTTTCCTGCCTTGAATTCTGATCTCTCGCATCTTTAGCCAGTAACCCTGTAGTTTCCACATTCTTGTGCTTTTTTGGTAGCCACAGTTAAGGAGCGGAGTGGCACCCTTTCTCTGCAAACCACAAACTTGCATTTCTTCTCCCAGCGGAAGTTCTGGGGATTTCATCAACCTTGCAATAACAATAGCTCACATTTTATGCAACTAAAGTATCTGGACCTTCCTTTTAACATTATAGAAAGATTTAACCGTTTGCTTACATATAGACTGGAGAATCAAAAGGCGATAAAACTTTTATTTTTTTTTTTTTATTTATTTTTTTTTTTAAATATATTTTATTGATTTTGTACAGAAAGGAAGGGAGAGATAGAGAGTCAGAAACATCGATGAGAGAGAGTCATCGATTGGCTGCCTCTTGCACACCCCCTACTAGGAATATGCCCGCAACCAAGGTACATGCCCTTGACCGGAATCGAACCTGGGACCTTTCAGTCCCCAAGCCGACGCTCTATCCATTGAGCCAAACCGGTTTCGGCAAAAGGCGATAAAACTTTTAAAAGGATGCACACTAGAACAGCGGTCACCAACCTTTCAGACCTCACGGAACCCCGGCTGGCGACCGCTGCGCTAGAAGGTTAATAGAACATTTCTGGATGGCGAGATTATACAAAACTTTAATTTCTTTTTTACCTGATTTTTCTATTTTCCCACAATGAACAGATGTTTATTTGTGTAAAAGCTGAAGGCATGTCATTTGATGTAAGAATGTTTCATTAGTAAGGGTGCTTGTGCTCACCTGTCAAACTGATCCACATAGGGCATTGCAAAGAACCGTTTCCTGTTGTACCTTTTATTTAGGTGCCAAGGTATAGCCCACTGCTTGAACTTGTGCCTGCAAAGTAAGCAAGAAAGTATTGCCTTACTGAAAACATTTAATACATCTGCAAACAGACACAGGGTTTTAGCTTTCTTTGGATGAAATATGTTGTCAATAAATTGAAAGCAAGCTAAAAACCCTAGAAGAGAATACACTCCTAAAAGATTCTAAAATTGACACAGATTCTCTCCCCATTCCCACCCTTTCCAAATTGACAGCAACTGAATTAATCCAAATAAGAATTTGGAAAATAAAACAGTTCGGAGTTTTTGGTTAGATGTTCTAGCAGTTTTCCTCTTTTCTGCATTGGATTACATGGTTAAAGATTGCACAGCTACTCTCCTAAATGTGACCCCAGGAGCTCTGTTACCCCAACCTCTACTAAAGAACTCATCAAACGAGTAAGCTCTATTCTGTAATGTAGGTTCGACCACCCAAAACGCCTTCTCCATTTTGCTGGCCAATTTTTAAAATTCTATTAACAATGTTTCCTTTTGGCAACTCACCCTAAAAGTAAATAAACCCCAGGCAGAGAGAGAACTCACTGGGTCTTTTTCATTATTTCTATCTCAGTATAAATGTTTATTATCGATCTTTTCCCAAGGTCTGGTAGGACTTTGGGAACTGGACTTAGGAGACAAGATTAAACTGTTTTATAACTTGTTCTAGGGCTTATCCTGGCTCATGTGGCCTTGTTCCTCAAAAACTTCTTTTCAATAGTTCCGGGTTCTCAATGAGTAAAGAGGACGGGCATGTGTCCTAAAATTAGCTTTATGGCATCTATCACCCTCTGAATTACATATAACTACACATTTTTCTGGGGAAAGGATCTATAACAGTCATCAAATCCTCTAATGATCATATGATCCACATAAGATTAAGAACCACTGTGATAAAGCACCTTTAGATAAGTGGATTATGAGAGTGGGATGCCTGGACTACTAGATAAAGCTACCCTCGTTCATGTTCTGGAGCTCCAAAGGGGTTTTGGGACCTGTTTATATTAGATATATCTCTGCTGTAGCTAATACACCTTATCCAGTGAGATACTGGACAGGGGAAGCAGCAAGGGACTTGCACTCTCATCTTAGAGAAGCCACAATGCCAACCATGTACCAGATGATTCTTCCAAAGATGTCTTTTCTCCAGGCACCGGGTCTAGGTTTTTCCTGACCAGTCTGAAGGAGCCTCAGGGCATCTTCTCGTTCCTGGACAACTTTATCTAGTGCATCCATGGATTCTATTACCTGAGAAGAGAATATAAAGATGTAATTTCAATCTCCTACAATA